ATTGTTTAGCTGCTTCACTACCAATCAGCTCCTGTTTTTGGTGTTCTTAACTAACTAGAGATGCAGCACTGCTCTGCCTCAGGGTGGCGCTGTAAGAACCTGATTCACCGAGTTGGTCTTTCATAATGTAACAAATGTCACTACGCCAAGGAATACCTAAGAAAAACTTTACGCCAACAAGCGACTGGTGGAAAGAGTGAAGAGCCCCTTTTCACAAAAAAACTGCAGTGTGTAAACGCTGGGTGAAAAAAGTTCTGCTATTGCCTTAGGAACAGTTACTAACCTCAGAAATACAAGCGTTCGTATCACTTCAGCTCACCACAGAAAGGTGTGTCACTTTATCTTTGTCATAGTCGCCAAAATTGGAATTCAAGGATGAGTCTAGAATGATTGGAGAACCAAACACACAACAATGCAGGAGTCCAAACTAAACAAAGGATATAAATGCTTTGTGGAAAAATTGCTTCGCTGTCAGAGCACAGTAACGTCAGCTAACGTCATGAGTGATAAATCGATGGAGAGGCAAAAACAACTATAACCAAAATGCTAGATTAGCCATGTTATCTGGAGATGTTGAAACAGCAAACAATAAACTAACTGGCAAAAGGCTAGACATGCACACATGCCAGCAGGGGGCATGCCGGGTCATCATGGTCCGTAACGCCACTGTAGACGTTCTCCACAAACACTGGCTCCAGTGAACGAACATGTACTCCCAGGTGAGCACTCGCTTTCTCAGGTACTGACAGCTTTGGAGGGAGAAAATGAAAACTGTTGCTCTGAAAGCGGCTGAAGCAGCAACTTTAAAGCACCAACTGCACGTTAACGCTGGCGGTGAAATGACTCAGAGGCTCCTTTCTTCAAAGTTCATTCCTTTATTAACTGAACAAACTCATTTTTCTTCTGCTCATCATCAGCTGACAAACTACCGAAACTGAGATGAGGCTGTTTTTGCTTTAAACTCGAACACTTGAGTGAGCCGTACACACTCAACTCATCATACTCTGCTACGGCCACTTCCAGCAAAAAAAATGCGGAAACGTGAAAAGGGCCTATTTGTAACGTGTCAGAACAAATTAGACGCTCGCAGATAAAAACAGTTCTGAGGTTTTAATGAAAAAAGGGAGATCAAAACTCATGATTAAACAGGCAAAGGTCAAAACCAAGAGAGAGTGAACAAAAGCCAAAAGGGACGTCCAGAGAAAGGTCAAAAAACGAGAACAAAGCAGGTCAAAAACACAACAGGACAGGCAGGTAAACAGCGCTCGGTGAAACTGGGACAATACTTCACAAAGAAGGAAGGACAAACAATCAATATAGGGCTGGACACAGGTGAGGAGAATCAGTAATCGGGCGAAGCTGATCTGAGATAGGCTGATGCCTGAGAGTTCTGAGCCATGTGATCCCCTGAATTCTGGGAGTTGGAGTTCGGGAGCACAAGAGTATGAGTAGCTGCAGAGTCGGAGGGAGGTGTGACAGAACTGTTAATGTAAGAGTCCAGCGTTCCATACAGTTTGTTTTGCGTTTCAGTAGTTATTGTGGAAATACCTGAAGTCATATCAGATGTAATGATTGGTTGGACTCGCCTAGCAACCAAAATGCATTTTGATTGGTCATATTTGGGCTAATACTTTTGTTTCCAAAGAATGAGCAGTTTTTTGTACAGTGATTTGCTGCATTTTATTTTAAGTTGAAATCTAATCGCGTAAAAATGACCACTAACTGATCACACCTTTTTAAAAAAAATAGTTTATATAAACAATATGTGCAATGAATGAGGCTATGACGGAAAAAAGTCCAGTAAAGTGAGTCAGTGGTGTGGAGCCACACAGCTGCGAGGAGTCTATTAATGTGACTTAGCTGACAGTGTAAACTTAGATTAACAACTCAGTATTAAACTTACTGTGTTTCATGGTGATCCATTGTTTAATGTTCGCTGGAGCGTTAAATATGATGATCAAATGTGCTAAAATGCATTTTAACTGGCTGTAAATGTTTCCCCACCCCATTCACATTCGCATCCCTGTGTTTCCCCACCTGCCATTTTCACGTCGCGCTGGCAGACGGTCACTATTTACACAGATTTGATGTCCAAACTCAGCCTAGATGTCTTGCCAATCGTTTTGATGTGCGTTGTGCTGGTGCGAGTGGATCAGACACAGAAGTGCTGCTGGAGTTTTTAAACACCTCGGTGTCTAAATTGAAACTTAAAAAATATCCAGCCAACAGCGTCCTGTGGGCAGCGTCCTGTGACCACTGATGAAGGACTGGAAGATGACCAACACAAACTGTGCAGCAGCAGATGAGCTATTGTCTCTGACTTTACATCTACAAGGTGGACTGACAAGGTAGGAGTGTATAATAGAGTGGACAGTGAGTGGACACAGTGTTTAAAAACTCCAGCAGCACTGCTGTGTCTGATCCACCCGTACCAGCGCAACACCACCATGTCAGTGTCACTACAGTGCTGAGAATGATCCACCACCCAAATAGTACCTGCTCTGTGAGGGTCCATGGGGGTCCTGACCACTGAAGAACAGGGTAAAAGCGGGCTAACAAAGTAAGCAGAGAAACAGATGGACTACAGTCTGTAACTGTAGAACTACAAAGTGCACCTATATAGTAAGTGGAGCTGATAAAATGGACAATGAGCGTAGAAACAAGGAGGTGGTTTAATGTTATGGCTGATCAGTGTAATGTCAGCTAAAATGTCTAAGCTAAAATGTGAAAAATCTAAAAATCCAAACACAAAACAAAATAAATAGCCAATAATGCAGTGCAGGGCATATGGAATCAATACAGCTTTGAAAAAACAACAATAATAGATGCATAAAAATGGTAAAATTACGTTCTCCAACGAAAGGTACTAAGTATGCACCCTCGATGACCCTAAAAGCCTCAGTGTATAGACACTAAATCTCTCAGCACTGGCCTGTGCCGCAACAGAAAAGCCATTCACGTGAAATGCTGGTCAACCTGCTCACGCTGACATATTAAACTGCTTAGCATTTACATCATGCTTTTCCAGGTCTGCGCACTCTCCCACGCCCGCCACTCATCTCTTCACCCAAATTCTCCCGCATTAACCACCAAATTAGAAAATATCCCGTCTCATAACATCAGCTGCCCTTTAAATTATTCTCTTGAACCTGCGCCGCTCCATCACGCAGCGGAGTTAATTAAGCTATAGTGCGAGTAATAAAGAAGATGGATGGCGTGCGGGCGGAGACGCGTGCTCCCGCCTGGCGACGACAACCCGAGCCTGTGTAAGGTCAGGAGTCTGGACGATTGATGGATCTGTCAGCCAATCGTCTTCATGTGACAGTGGACTTCCCTCATGGACCTACCCCCCCCCAACTCCCTCCCACCCCACCTCGAAGAATTGGATTGTTCCTGCCTGCGGGTTCCATCATCTTCAGCCCAACGGGGGGACAAATGAATGGCCGGAGCAGGAGGGAGAGACACCGCGGCCTTGCTGTGGATGCAGGGAATCAGAATTCAATCTGGGAGGGCTACCAGTCATTCCTCGCTGTCGATTCCGTCAGTGAAGGCAGCTCGGAATGAAAAGGGTGTCACTCCCTGGTGGAAAGCTGGAGGAGCACCGTGGCCGATCAGTTTAGAGCGAAGCTGCCAAGGCTGACGCGCAATAATCATTTGGCTTCATTTTGTTTGGCCTTTTACTGAGCACAAACTCCAAAGCACTTCACTTCAGCGCAGTTAGAATCGCGTCATCTGAGCATTACAATCACAAACCAGATGGCAGTCACAAAGGAGAAAACAATGCTGACACTGTACTCGTCTTCCGCAGCTTTTCTACTGAAGGAGCTGCTGTGATCTAACTGGCAGCAGTCAATAGACATGTAATGTACACCAAAGCCAGAAGGCAGAACTTTGACCATGCATGCTTTTTAAAAATAAGAGTAGTAAGAAGTAAATGTTATTTTACGTCCATTCCCCAGTAAACACAGGAAACAAACCTGCGTAACCAATTTGTTTTGGATTTTGTGAGGTCATCTCCCAAATGTCACTCGGTCACCACCATCTGTCTGAATCTTCCTTATCATAACGCTGCCAACTGGTCTGAGTGTGTGAAGGCCAGCACACACTTCTTCCCAAATATGTGAAGCCCATCTTTTCAAACTGCTGCTCATGCAATGCTGTACAGCAGCTGAAGGCACTTATAGGAGAGTGCTGACTGCCCATTTATGCGAACGTGAGCTGGCAGATGAGCAGGATTGGCCAGCATCACTGTAGATGGACAGGAAAGAGGAACCAAGCCACCCGTCCAACCCGGAGAGCAGCAGGTGCAATTGTGCTCTCATAGAGTCTGGGCAGCATCGTCCAGATCAGTAGTAGGCTGATATATCATTTATACTGGTATATCATAGAGCTGCACGAAAAATTGTTTTTATATTGAAATCATAATTTGAAACATTTTTAAATCACAAGAGCTGCAATTTTAATTATACCTTCCATTATTTAACATTTGAACATTATATATATATATATATATATATATATATATACACACATTTACTTCCATGAACAAAAAAACAACCAAAAATTATTTACACACACACACATACATATACATATATATATATATATATATATATATATATATATATATGTTTTCAATTTAGCAAATAATTGTGCATTAAATTGTGCAGAAGTGAACATAAGTTACCAAAACATGGAATTTGACCCAAACTTTTACATACGACTGTATACTTTTGAGGCATTTGTATTTTTATCATAGTTTCTAGCAGCAGACTGACCCCTACCAGTGAGCGAGAGAGAGAGAGAGAGAGAGATGGAGACAAAGAGAGAGGCAGATAGAGAGAGAGAGGCTTTGTCAGCGGGGGAACATTTCCATTTTGATGGCGTTATCTGCACAGCTACGCTGCCACTGACACATCTGCTATGTCACATCCGCTCTGACCCCGACCTCCTGCCGGACCGATCTGGACAGAGATGGAGGGAAAAGGCTTGGCACTCACATGCGAAGGTTAGGCTGGCCTCGCGGCTCACGATGGTGCCGAAGGAGTTGGAGGCGAGGCACTGGTAGGTCCCGGAGTCCTGGTCTTTATTCAGACGGCTGATGCGGAGGTTTCCCCCGGAGAGGCTGTGGTGTGAGCTTGGCTTGGGGCTGATGATGGTGCCGTTGAGCTTCCACCTAAAACAGAGCGTGAGAAAGAGAGAGAGAAAGAGAGGGTTAAAATCAGAAAAAGTGAAAATACATGGTTTTCTAACCTGCTGATTGCATATCCCTCTTTATAAGCAGTGGTAAAAAATATTCCATCAGAGACTTTTATTGAAAAAAGAAGGGAAAAAAAATCAGTTCTCCATCATGTGATCCCTTTAATATAACAATATTTTATTCCAAGTAATTTCAGATCATTTCTATTGGTCCATTCGTCATGAAATAATTACATGATGCAAATAGCTGGCGTATCTGGGGCCGTATTACAGATATATATTAACTCTTAAATCTTATCTGTATAGTTACCATGGCAACTTCAGTTAAGACTGCTTACAGAACAGCAATTCTTTAGTTCATTATCTTATCATTAACTCCAGATAAGAAAACAGTACTAAACAAACAGTCTAACTAGAATAAATCTCCTAAATACGGTCCTAACTTTAGGATAAACCCCAACAGTGTCCTAACTCCTGTTTAAGCATCCATATGTAACGTGTTACAGGCAGCATAGTTTACTACTAGGATCACTCTGTTACATTTATTTCTAGGCATATATTTTCATTTGTGAGCTGTTTTTTTCTTTTCTATCTTTGTGTTTTAAAAATCTCAGACACTACAGACACGATCTCCACCGAATAACATTTGGGAAATGGAAACTGAAACTGTGGAGTGGTGACGCTCTGATAAGGAGAACATTCACGATGTTCTTAATCTCCAGTTTACTGCACTTTAGTTTTGTTTTTACCTTTTTTTACATTGGTAGTTGTAGCTGATTAACATTGGTAGCATTTTTAACATTTAAGAACAGTTGATTGATAAGATCTCCTAACTTGAGATGAGATAAGACAATATTCTTCAATTAAGAATTAAGATTTGCTTCTGGAATACAATTTTGTGAAAAGTCGTTTCTTGACCCGGCAGATCTTAACTTAAAACAAAAAGATAGGACGTTTCTGTAATACAGCCCCTGGATCCTATTAGCCTTCATTCATTTTAGTCATATTTACGTGAAGCATTCTCAGCAACCAGGTTAAAATTATTATATATTACCCAGTGGTGAACTGTGACTATTAGAGCGAGACCTTCAGTTCAGGCCATAAATGTCAAAACATGAGATAAAAGCTCACCTCTAAAATAAGGCTAATTTCTGCTAGCACCCCTATGGAATTTCTATGTTAGTATGTAAGCAGTAAGCTAACGGTGGTATACATTAACAGTTTTTGGCCAGTTTAGATAAACCTCTTAAAAGGCCAAGTTTAATAGATACCAGGGTTTATTATTCAGTAATTATAGGGACCTCAATGCAAACTGCTTGAGTTATTATTAGATTATAGAAGTGTGTAACAAAACTTTGGGAACACCATATAAAGGGTTAAACAGGATCATTGGAATCTTGTAAAAGACATTCCATATGTTTTATCTGAAGGTTGTAACAGACATTATCATATATGTGAGCTTGTATGTATCAGTTTTTCTGTTCTGACATAGAGCTGCCGCCACTGTTTTACATTCCTAACAACTAACCCAAACCTGTATTCACACTCAGTGACATATCTAGAACTTCCAAAAGGACTAGAGTGATGTTTTTTCTTTAAACTGGTTCCATTATAAATCAAAACATGATTGCTTGATTCCTCTGTCAGTTCCTATTTATCCTGGATGTTAATCTAACAGCTCCTGTAGTCCTAACCAATGGGAGAGCTCGTTTGGCTGAATCAGTAAAAAATCCTGGTCAGTTTCCTTTGGCCAGTCCAAGATTTTAACCCTTTTGTCTCTAACAGAATCTAAACAATAATAAAAGTATTAATACTGTAATAATTGTAGAGTTGAAATACAACAAGCATGATGATTATATTTAATATAAATGAGATAAAAATGCCAGACATGCATTTTTTTCCTTGTTTCCAGAAATCAGAGAATTTTAATATTTCAATATATTGCCGATGTCACACAATTTTTTTTGCTGAATTTGAAAGATATGCTTTGCCTTGTGTAGAGATTTCAAGATGAACAGTCCAACAGAAGTAAGTATTTTTACACTTCCATTAAAGTCAAGACTGTTTCTTCCTTCTCCTGAAAAGTTACCATAAAGATTGATAAATCATGTTCTGATGGGCAGAAAATCAAACCATCATGCATGTCATTTTTTTTCATTCTTCAGTTCTTTTTGCACAAACAAAGAGTATTCCAGGAGTGAAAATAACCCTCGCCGTCAAACACCTGCCATCCAATCACAGAGCCAGAATCTGTCTTGGCAAAAAGAGGGAAAAAAGAGCACAACTTATGACCATCCATCTTGCTCGACACCCAGTCAAACAGCATCACAGCAGAGCTTAATCATGGCGTTGGAGCAATTAAAACTAATAGCCGCAGTGAGCATTCAGTGGGCCTGCGCTCTACAGAGGGCTAGGTGATCATTGCAGGAATTCGCCGTGATCACTGAAGGATGTAATTCATTTAGGATGGCAGCTGA